ATAGTTTCAATGTAATTTAATTTATTTTTGTCACGCACCTTAACATAGATTTATTATTTAAAACATTATAGGTGTTATGTATTCTACTTATTATATCTCAAATGGTTAATAAATAAATATAAATAAAATTTTATTGTATAGTATTATGACCAATTTTAAATTTATGCAATAACTTTTATCCTCACTTTTATCCACAATGCAATAGCTGATTACTTGTATTTTCTTTTTTCCCTTCTTGCGAAATTCTGTACCTACTGGTTGGTGAATTCAAGTTAATTAAAAATAATTCAAGTATTTTTAACTCTGTACAGATGGCATTTAACCGGATTCGATTTGAATAAAATATTACACAGTAATTGTAACATTTGTAATATCAGAAAAAAATATTAAAGTAGTCTCGGTACTGTAGTTTACTACTACTTTTCTATACAACTAATCCTATAATGAATAATATATCTCACTATCTAAAGAAAAATTGGCGTTATATATCATTACGATTAATTAGCTACGATGCATCCATCATCGAGAAAATATACCTATACCTAAATTTCACTCTAGCAGTGTAAAGAAATCCTAATGCAATTAATATCATTTCAATTATTAGTTTATTAATTGATAGAAGCAAGTATATGAAGAATCTTTAAAAATAAGAAAACACATATAAGAATTACAGAAATAAAATAATAGGTATGTATGCATAATACTTAATAAATACATGTCTAAAATATTATACCATACGAAAAAAATGAGAGAAATCCCCAGTGGATTTTTATTTTATTTTTAAATTAAAAACACGAACGATACTTTCTTTTTCTTCTAAGAAATTAAACGTTTATAGTCTATTATGTCCCTTTTTGAAGTTACTTGAAAAGAAAAAAGGTTCTTTCACTTTTTTTGAGTTAGGACTGTATTACATTCGTCTTTTAGTTCCAATAAAATAAAATAAGGAAACACAGCTGGAGAGGGAAAATTTCAATATAAGGATCAAGGAAGATCAAATTAAAAATAAAGCAAGAGCACTTCAAAGTTATATCTGATAGGAATGTCGATTTTCCGTTAAAAAGTATTAATATACCGAAGGGATATTTCATGTAAAACAATTACATAAGTAGGTCTTACCTATACCACCTGCACCTATACTCTCCAAAAGTTTACTTTTATTCAGGAAGGATTCTCTTTTAAAAGATTGTACGTTAGATATATTAATGGAAACGTACTGTAGAAAATCATTACCATAAATGAATGTAAGAATAAAAATTGGTGTAGAATTGAGGATAGTATCTTAAAGTATACACACAAAAATAAACAGCTGAAGTAAGTCTTTTTAGAGTTGATAATCTGTAACTGTCAATCCCTTCGTATTTTTACCTAACTGAAACTTTCAGCACAAAAGAAAGTTTTTTACGATATTCTAAAAGTTTAATATTCTGTCTCCTTTTACGATGAAAAGGCTAACAATTAGAATGAAAACTCCAACAATACAAGAGATTATGAATTTCGAATTCGACACACCTTTTTGGGGTCGTAATTCGGTCAGCTGTGGTAATTCCTTCAGAGGGTCCTAAGCCAACCACAGAATGAGAGTGGAGATGAAAGCGAAATTTAAAGATAATACATTCAATCCGTTAAGGCCTTACGTTTTCTAATATACAAATATAATTGAACTTAAGTATTAATAAGGATTTAGTTGTAATCTGGAAAAAATGTTGAATTATATTAATAAATATTAAACGATGTTATCAATTCTTGATGAATGATATGTTTAGTAAAATGAAAGAGATTAGAGGTATGGTATCTAGGATACCATACCTCTAATTTCTACAAACGTAGGTTATTTTATTACGTTTGTAGAAGGTGTGAAGGATGGAGACCAAGACGACGAGAAAAATTACAATGGTATAGTCGTAAAATATTGTGTAATAATGTCATATAAAAATAATATAATATTATAAAAAACATAGATAATAAAAAAGGTATAAAAAATAGTTCGCAACAGAAGGATTAGGTTAGAAAATACAAAATTCAGTATCCAACATCTAAAGACAAACAAAATGTAATATGTCCACAACTAATATTAGACTAATTTGTACGTCATTTTACATTTGCATGGTAATAGGTGGAAATTGGAACTATTCTCGGCTCTTTAATAAACAAAACTAATTTTATTTTTAAATGTGTGTTAATTTTTTTTAATATAATATAAAAATATTTTATTTCTTTATTATCTAGCGAAATTTAATAACCTTACTATGTTTTCATTAACACTCTGAAGAAGTCTTCCGGATGAAGTTATACAATTATTGAGAAAGGAGAATACATATAAGTACATTAAATTCCCGTACATATATAGCTATAGAAAAAATATAAACACTTTTAGAAAAATAATATAGAACTATATTCTTTTATACTAGTAATGGTTTATAGCGAGCTTGAGGCTCAATGATCAAACTTTGATTAACAACCATTAACTATGTAAAACCATGTATCTGAAAAAAGAGTTCGAACATAATGGAGTTTCATTCTATAATATTATTAGTCCCTGTAGCTATTTTATAGCTTCGACCAATGATTGTACATTTTAAATTTCAGTTATACCTATTGTTTGAGAGAAACTACTATAAAATTCAGTTAACATTTTAGTAGAGACAGTAAGTGATAAAATGAAATAATTATAAGTTTTTAATTTACATTACATTAAAACACCGCATTGTTATCTTTGCTCAGATAGACTCGTTGAGAATGAAAAGAATTAATGAATGACAATGCAATATACAGGCTAGCCTGTATTCCATTTTTTGTGTACAGAAGAATAAATAAATTCTTTGTAGATAGTTATATGATCATACATTGCTATTGAAAACGGCATGAAAATATGTTAAGGTAAATTAAAATATAAAATAAATAAAGTAATGAATTAATGGTACGTCATGAGCAGTCTAAAACCCACGTATTTTTGAGCTGGTCTGCCGGGAAAATTACTCTTTGTAATATAAATACTTATTATATTTTACTTAAGGTAATTTCATCATACATATGAGAATGCCGTGGTCTTCAAATAGAATTTGTGATAGTAAACCACTAGTTTACGAATTCAATTGAAATACTCAGTCGCAAAGAATATTTTGTGTAAATTAATAATTTTGACAGACTCTCCTGTGATGTAAACTCCTATAACAAACTGATGTAAAGCAATAGCCTGATCCCCTGCCATGTCGGATTCAAGTATAGGTACTAAGTGTAATATGTGGACATAGTATAGCTTACACCACGCCGTTATAAAATTTGATTACTCCTAACTACCCCATCTATTATAACAGTAGTAAAGATAGTTTTTTTTGAGTAGTTAAATATTTACGTATAAACTAATATCAAAGCAATAGTTTTTTGTAGCAAACCCAGTTGGTAAAAGTGGTAGCAATCTACATAAGAGATGCGGGTCGCGGATTTGTCATAAGTCTTACTGTTTGTCATATTTTATGCTGTAAGTTTGGGTATTGAATAACTCTACGCCACAGTTCGGATGGCACATATTACTTATGGTTGTCGTCACATCATTTGAACGTCAGAGTTAAGAACATGGTATGATATGGGTCTCGTAAAGCACCTAAAGTATAGGTCAGGTCACATTTATTTAAAACTCTAGTTGTATGTCACGGTGCTGTCTGTATGGAATATAGTCTTGTTAGTTGTTAATAACTTAGCTTTTTATATGTAAAATAATTACAATAACAAATAAACATGTGGATGAGTATTATAATATTAAAATTATTTTAAAATAATTTGAAACTAGCAAAGCTGATATTATTATATGAAGTATTTTTTTATAGGCAAAATGATTTTTTTGTTACGAATCTAACTTAAAACAAATTAAATATTAAATTTATAAAGATATGGTTGAGATATTACTTTTAACGCAACGCCTTGGATATTTTTTTAAATATTTTGTCACTTTACGTTATTTATTTAATCTCGTACTAATTCTCCACTCAGACTTCTATACAGGCAAAATGAACATTTTTGTTCATTAAAATAACAATATCATAATGTTTTACATTCGTTTAATATTTAATTATAATTAGGTATCTACTTATAAATTAACAAATCTCAACAGTATTTTGAAAAATATGATTTTGCTGTCATTTAATTTATTGTTTAGTAATTTATTTACAATAGATATGGCAACTACAATTTAAAAATAATAAAATATCATTATTATAATAAACTATACTAAATATTAACGACTTTGTAACAAATATACAAACGAGTACTTAATCTATCATTTATTATTATTTGTCAATATTAAAGAGGGTCATAAGAAGGCACAGACAGTATTATTAGCAGGTGTTCTCGATATTTTATCTGTGCAGGTACATAACATAAAAACAATTTGAAAGAAAAAGGAAATATTTATACCAATTTAAAACCTAACTTAGGTATCAATGATTTGTCGTTATTGGAGACGGTAACGAGAACGAAGGCTGAGTTATCGGCACGTTTCCAATATTAGGCTAGTACTTTATAGCAAGAGAGACAATTAAGAAAATCGTTCGACTTTTGTAACAGAATTTCATCGAAAATTTATCGGAAATTGTTATTGAAACTTTGAAACGTTAATGTCTAAAGATCATAAATTAAAGTGTTTTCGTCCTGAATTTTAAAATATATGTATTCTCATGTGTATATTAAGCACAATATAACTGATGGTGTCCGAGGTTCAGTGATAAATATGTTTCAGGAATTTTAATTATTTTTGTAGCAAATTTTGAGCGTTTTATTAATTTATGAGATAAAGGCCAAGGGTTGACAGTAAGGGTTCACTGCTGCTGTATCTATACACGAAGGTATTTGTTATAATGTATAAGTGATTATATACGTTAAAACAACTGCTTTTTATTTATACTTTAAATTTATTGTGCACTGTCATTTATAAAAAAAAATATTTGTATAAATTTAAAAATTATTTCAAATTAGTGAAAAAATAAAGAACTCATTGGCTTTACCTTTACGGGTCCCGACCGAATAAGGGTAATGTCACACTTCCATTGTATTCCACTATAGAAGCGAATACGATCGTGAACTTATGACTTGCGATGGTTGAGAGACGGTTGCAAAATACGTATATTCACTAAGGTTGTAAGGCGGTGTGCGCCGGCCGGCGTCGCTCGGCAGACTAGACTGCGCGGCCCCTACCTACCCGCGCCCGCCCGCCCTGTTTTGATTTACAAACCGATGCTACACTGTCATGCAATGTTTGAAACTCTGCATTTCTGTCATCTACAACATTAAAAATCTCTGGAATTAAACATTTGTATAATATATTACAATCTTAAAATTGTATTAGAAGTTAGTATTTACTTTACAAGTAAATTGAAACTAAACTCATTCATTACTGTGCCATTAAAATATTAATATTACTTATTAAAGTTAGTCGTTAAGTTATAGACAACATTTATCTTGTGTACAAAGTAATTACAATCTTTTGAAGTACAACATTGAGTGATTGCGGGGTTTTGTAAAGATTTTTGGAGATAATTAATTATGAATCAGAGAATGTCGTGGCCTAGTTTTCTACGCTGGCCTCAAAATTTATTTTTGACTGCTTTTTCAGTGATAGAAACACTGTTAACATACAAAAAGATTGCGAGAAATCCTCGGTCGTAATTTATTTACCATAGTGTTGCTTTTACTGCGACGTGACGTCTATAGTTCACGATGTCTCTATCTACCTCGTCTAGTATTAGAATCGTAATTATATTCATACTCATACGACTTCACTACATAGAATATAATTATTGAGTTATATAAAATACAGATGTAAATTACACATTATGTATTGAAACTTGTTTCGAAAGGCGTAGATATCACCAATATCCGTAGTGATCGTTCCTCCAATTAATCTCCCTGCAGGAATAGGTGAAATAGGAACGTCTGAATGAAATACGTTTGGAAAACACGTCAGAATATACGCGAGCGAAATTGCAAGCGTTGATTAAAACTATGCTGCTACAGGAGTCGACATTTTTCAAACGCAATACTGAATGCACTTTATAGCTTTGACATTGTCACATGAGAAATTCAGTGATACCTACAACTCAATTTCTAGTACAGTTCAATTGATATTAAAAATGTATACCATGAAATATGATAGATATTTGTTGTTATTTTATTTATGTAAAGTTAGCCATCGTAACATTGTAGTATAAATGAAAATGACATTATCTAAAATTATATTTTTTTTATTTAAAAATAATACTTTGTATTTGTAATGAGCTTAAAAAATATTAGGCTGATTTTCGCAACTAATTCATCTCTATTAAATTCAATTGTGTGGTACGTTTTATTAAAAAAAAAAACGATTACTGCAATAAATACAGACGAACGAAGTCGACGCGAATAGCCAGTTATTTTAGGGTATAATATTTTAGGTTCTAAACTATCAGGAACTATAATGTGTGTATAGCGTCACATTGTGTGGGTGAAACCATCCGTTGTTATTTTCCTACCTTTTCCACTTATAGGCCTGCTAAATAATGCACGAGTATTCCATTCTATGTGAATATATGACGTGGGTAAGTTATTTATTTCCACAAGACGATTTTTTGGTAATTTATCGTACCTCATGTAAACAAAAAAAGGATGTCGAATATAAAAGTAAGTAATAACAAGTACTATCGAATAGTCTTTTAATAATTAAAAAATAAAAATTATTTAAAGTTCCACTTCGAAACATCGTATTATCAAATCGTGATTAATTAATAATTTCATAATATACAAAACTAATGAAATTGAAAATTTTGATGCGAATAAACCTGTTCCTTTTTAATCGAAATCAGTTGAGAACTAGCAAAGATATAAACGTGAAAGATTGCGATCAAATTGACAAATTCCTTCTTTTTGAAGTTAGTTAATATGTGTCACCGCTCGTTAGATTGCGTGACACAAATGTATGTCTATAAAATATTCACGTAAAATAAGTTACTGCCAACATTTTATTAGCTTGTTTCACATTCTCTTCAAAGGTAATGTCGTAAGGACACTTTTACACCTGTAAGTTTTATTATGCATGTCAAACTTTACCTAATTAAATTTATATATATTTTTTATTATAATTGGAAGAATGCATGACAGAGAAGATAAGAAAAATAATTGATTAGGGTGAATACATCAGATAATCACTGCTGTTGTTACAATTTTTTTTGTGATGGCGTTTCCAGTTTTACTAGAACGGCGTACAATCTAGATTGTTTATAATCTACAAAAAATTACATTTCATCGCGATGACTTATCAAAACTAAAACGTTTTGTCTGTTATTTATCAACATTATTATTACCACAATTTCATCTCACAAGAATATAATGTAGTAATACTAGTAAGGAGGTTTGATATTGATTTAATTTACAGGTTTTTTCATATTCGTGGCATCTTGAAAGCGTCCTCTGTGGAAATTTAATTAATATTTGGATATTCATGTGATAAAATAGTTCATGACATCAAAGACAAAATATTATGATCTTATTTATTTACGCTACACATTGAATGGTTTACGTCATATCTACATTATCCATGGGTCGTCCAGTATATGGCTAAGGGGTGCGGCATCCGGTATTCGGCTTCCGGCGTCTAGATTAAATTTTACTTTGAAGTTGTGTGTTCATAAGCTAAAAACTTCTATATTGCCATATAATAGTATATTTGGAAAAAAATCCTTATAGCTTTAAATACAATTATTTACTCTATATAATGTGCTTATTTTACACAGTCATCTCTGGATAGGTTAATTCCTGGCACGTTCGACTTGCTATACTAAGAGTACATATCATTAGGTATTTTATCTTTCATTTTACCTTATTTCTATTTCACAAATTCTGTGATAATGGCGCAGATATATTGACGAAGGATTACCATTCCATAAAGTAAAAATATTTTTTTATCTCGCGGTTAACCTATACGTAGCATTCATAAGGACGAAGTCGCGTAGCAAAATGTACTGTTTATTACTATATACAAAACTTGCTTCTATCTTATTTTAAGTTGACAAACACGAAGAATTTACGTCATTACTTGTACCGTGGAAACTTTGTCTCTTAAAAGCTAAACTTTCAAATGCTCATCAAACATTTTGCGCTACTTTTCTCATTTCCTCCCCGAAGATAGCAAGCTATTTCCTTTCTACATCTCAGTATAAGGATAAAATAGCAAGATAATGAATAAATTCAGTGAAAAAAACGGCAGTTTGATAGACATCCTGTTTCTTTGATGGCACTTGTTGCGTTGTCCTTCCCCCATCTATTTCGAGAGACGTGGCGCTTATACGCAAGATAAAATATGTTTTTACTGCTTACAAAATAAGATTAAAAAAATATATAGATATTTTTTATGTAATTGCAATGGAAAATAAACCGAAACCCCATCCGATGGTAAGTGGTAACCGTCGCCTATATATTATAAATGAACAGCAGTACGGACAACACGATACGTGTTGCCCATACAACCTATCGCAACATAGCAAGCTGTTTCGCAACTGAAATTGAAATATGTCAGACTGAGGTAGGTACCCACGCAGACACTTTTAACAAATCTGCCTCTGAAAAAAAATAGTACAATAATAAAAACATGTATAAATTATTTATTTATGTTTATAAATATATTCTTTCAAACAACACCTGCCGTTAATTTTGTTTGAAACGAAGTATTGTTACTGTTACATATAAAATCTGAAATCTTCAGACTCACCAATTTCTGAGACTATATAATTCCCACTTGCTATTGATAGTTCAAATAAAATCTAAAATATTTTTTTCACGCAAGTTGCTTGAATAAAATAATTCGATTTATATATATTTTAACTTTTTACTTAACTTACTTACTTTTTTCTCAACAGCCCTATACAACAGAATAAACAAATATTCATATATTTATGTATTTATTCCACTATTGTGCACAATCTCTCTCGTCACGTGAGTGAATGTCACTGAGTGTTAATAGTGCTAATGTCAAATGGCATACTGAAAATCAGCGCCAAACGTAATTTCCGATATTGGAATTTCAATTGATAGCGATGAAATATGGTAATTTGATGATCGTTACATATATGTGACTTGGCTGTCGTGTTATCATATTAGTTATCTAAACAGAATCATACAACGGAAATGAGTTATGGGTTTCGATTTTTGTGTCCTATATGACCTAATGTAAGGATAATAGATAGAGAAAGAATTTTCACACAGTAATCAGCATGGGTAGTTTATATAAACTTTTGATTGAATGAAGAAATCTAGCTGTGAAATTATAGGTTTTTTTTTTTTATATTTAAATACATTTTTCCACAGACATATTCGTCCGTGCCTTTTTTAATTTACTTTAATATTATAATATTTATTTAATTTCCATTTTTGTACAACTCCATCCGAGATGTTACAATTTGCCTAACAGTGACACCAAGGCAGACCTTATCCGTCTGGCCCAGAACCACCGCTGGCCGGCCGGGTGAGTTGACAACATGCAGTGTCACCCATCTTTATTTGGAAGATTAGATTTATCAATATGCATATACAATTATATAAATCTTACACTACTATTAAAGGTTACGCATATATATATATGTATTATATATATATATATATATATATATATACGCGTGACAGGCCATCAGATTATTATCACATTAAAATAAAATAAAATGTTTACATGAATGCCGTCTATTTGTTAGTATTTGTAAATACAACACATTTCTATCAATAAGCAAATTATGTCATAATTAGGATTAATTACTATAAAGTAAATAAAAACTTGATTACGTAATTTGTTCGAATAGATGGTAACAATATTATATTCATTTAAATAAATAAATAGGAATCTACATGGCGCTAATGAACTCCACAAAGTGGAGAGTTTCATAACTCAACATAATTATTTTGTAAATAAAGGTCCTACGTGCAAATGTGTCAACCATTGTTCTACATTGCATAATTAAATTTGGTTCTGGAGTTTAATGGTTTATGTACAACAATGCAAAAACAAACATAAATAGAAATATAATTTATTGTTTTTCTTTTTGTAATTGAAATGGAAAGCAAGCTAATGGTCCGCCAATAACCGTCGCCTACGTACAGGAAGAGCAAGCACTACGGACATAACGATATCATAGGACC